AAAAAGCAACTTTATTGAGGTATAATTGATATAGAAAGTGTCTGTTTCCTAAGTGGTCATCTGGAGCCACTTCAGCTCAGCTGCTAGAGTGCTGTAGAATGAGGATTTTTGGTCTTTGGGGTTCTCTGGGACTGGCAAAATTCCATCTTGATGACCTCATGAGGTCATCAAAATGATGATGAGAACAAGTTACATTTGACCTTTGTAAGTCGTGGATGACTAACGTATGTAGAAGCCTGATGGTCTGTGACACAGGGTTTTAGATGAGATTCGTTTGTACCACTGTGCGCACCTCTGCGATTTCCTTCCATATTGGATGATTGCTCTGGCCCTGGCCTTTTTGTTTGACTCTGTTGTAGAGAACGTTAGCATGCAAATGAGTTTCTAAACATCTGGTTATTTTTTTCAGCATAGGCGAGGCTGAGGGTCACTATAAAGGTTGTGATAATAGGTGTCTTCCTTGAAGGCAGAACAGTGTAGTTATACTCTGTGAGGAGGGACTTTGAAGCCAGCAGACCTGGGTTACAATCTCAGTTCTCTACTTCCTGTGTGACTTTGGGCAAGTTACTTAACCTCTCAATTCCTCAGTTTTCTCTTCTATAAAGTAGGCATAATATGTACTATAGCCACTTTCATGTAATACGAGATAAAATGTTTAGTGCTTAGTACAGAATGAGCATTTGATAAGAACAGTTACTGCAGCTGCTGCCGTTATTTGAAAAGTTTTGAAAGGGTGTTATCAATAAAGCAAGTACAATTTGTGGCAATAAATGTTCTAGTGGAAATTTTTATCTGTTTCATGGAGCAGGGGAACCATTGATCCCCTGCTGGGTATTACTGACAGCTTCATAAAGGACTTAAGAGGTGAGAAGGAATTTTCCTGATGGAAACAGGAAAGGTTTCCTGGGAACATCAGCAAAGGCTTGAGGTTAGAAACCAGCAGGCTATGGTGGCAGCACCCTATTCTCTGTGTAGCAAGGCCAGTAGGGTTTTGTTTGCTTAAACAAGGGAGCCACCGGTGCAGATCATTTCTGGTGGCAGTGTGCCATCTTGTTTGGAGAAGAGAGGGGCTGAAGACGGTGACCGTGAGCTGAGTTGTGAGATGATGGCGGCCAGTGCGTGGTTGTGGGAATGGAGAGAAGGGAAGCAGACCCAGACGGGAGCATGAAGTGGCATGAAGAATGCACAGGCTTTAGAGAAACACTGGGATTTGGTCCCTGGTTCTCCTACTTTCCCAGCTATGTGGTCTGGTTTGAATTTCTTTCTTTTTTTTTTTATTTGAGACAGAGTCTCACTATGTCACCCTCCGTAGAGTGCTCTGGCATCACAGCTCACAGCATCCTCAAACTCTTGGGCTTAAGCAATTCTCTTGCCTCAGCCTCCCCAGTAGCTGGGACTACAGGCTCCTGCCACAACACCCAGCTATTTTTTGTTGCAGTTGTCATTGTTGTTTAACTGGCCCAGGCCAGGTTCAAACCCGCCACCCTCAGTCTCTGTGGCTGACGCCGTAACCACTGTACTATGGCCGCCGAGTCGGTCTTGTATGAATTTCTTACCTCTCTGAACCTCAGTTTCTTTGTCTTTAAAATTGGAGGTGTCAGTTCTTACAGCATCTGGGCGAACTGAACACCCCTGTGGCTATGCCTAGACTTGGTCTGTGCTTGGTAACTGTTACCTTCAACTCATCCCAGAGGGCTGTTTAAAGTTGAGCTTATAGGAATTAGTGCTTTATTGCTCACGAGAGAGAAAATTGAAGATGACTTTGAGGTTTGTACCTCAACTATATATGATGGTACGATTAAGCACACTGAGAAATAACAGCAGAAGGGACAGAATTCTGGGGAAAGAAATGTAGCGTTTTGGATTTGTTGAATTTGAAATAACTGAGAAAGCCAAGTCTTGGCTTTAAAAGACATGTACATTTTTGGAGGTTAGGGCTAGAAATGGAGTTCTGAGGTACTTTGGCATATAGACAGAGATTGCTGTGGAAAATGAATGATTTTGCTTTTGGGTAAGCTTATGGACTGGGGAGAGGGCTGAGTGTGGAACCCTTCAAAAACTAACAGTAGAAAGAAAATACCAGCTGCACTGTGGAGGAAGAGAGGAAAAGGGAGAGATCAGAGGCCCAGGAAGCCAGCGAGGCCGTGAGAGCGTTTTCCAGCTCGTGTTCCGTTAGGCACTGCAGCTACAACGGGGAGGGTCCCACGGCTTTTCAGGGGCCTGTGGAAAGGGAAGGTGCAATTTCTCAGAGTGCAAAATTATGAAAATCCTTTCAAACTATTAAAAGCCAATAAATATTTCATAGGAAATGAGTGTGCATTTAAATACATGAGACAGGGTTTAGAGGTGGGGCTTCCCACAGGAGGAGTGCCAGTGACCTGGACACACCGGAATAGCACCCAGCGCACTAGTCCCACCGACACACTGTGGCCACCCTCACCATTCCTTTTCCCTCCGCAGGAAAGTGAGTGTAGGCATCCTCACGTGTTTAAAAAGCCCTCAGAGTGGTGAAAGTTTGAAAACCCATGGTCAGCCATTGTCTGGTGCCTGAGGCTGTGAACCATACTGTGGCAGCAGAGGACTTGAGGGACAGTGATGGGCTGTCCTCTGTCATCAATAAATCTTATCAATTGTATAGAAAAATATTCAGTTATTATAATTCCTGCCTTTTGTTTTCTGTTTTTCTCAGTTTGTTAAGCCTCCATTTGTGAATGTTTCATTCATTGACAACTGGATTTCTGCCAAAGCGTATTTTTAAATGTGGAGAGCATATTCAGCCTGTTGAATAACAACCACCCACTAGGAAGCCAGTAGCAAACTAACCTGCCCCTAGAACTTGCAGGGGACTCAGTCCTTCCCTGTAGTGATCCTGCCTTTACAGCCTGTTCTCTTTTTAACAATCTACCATCAAATTGCATTTTAAAAATCCACTGCTGTGTTCTTTTTAAACATTAAAATGCATGGGCCATTGACCCTTTTCTTCAGCTTCTGTGGTGCTTTCATTACTGCTCTTCTCAAAGTTCTGGGCTGGCAGACCATGTAGTGCCCTGCTGTTCCAACTCCTGCTTTCCTTGCCTCAGCAGTTCTGTTTCTTCTCACTCCCTAATGTGGACACTTACTTCTCTGAGACTTTCTTGGGCTGTGCTTTGCTTTCTCTAACTTCTCAGAACTGAGCTTCCTCACCTGCTTTAGCTGTTCCCTCCACATCAGTGCCTCTGAAATCAGAGTCTGCCTTCCCGGGCAAGCTCCAGCTGCCTTGCCCAGCCTCCTGATCTTTGCCTGCTGTTGTGCACAGCTGATGTCTTTCCTTTGTTATTACCTTTCTGAGACTGGCTCTGCCTCCCAAGTGCCTTGTCCTTCAGCCAAGCTGCCATTCTCCTAGCTAGTCACTGCTTGACACCCCCCCCCCCCCCGGGCTTTCTCCTCTCTTTCATTCCGTGAATCCACCAAGGTAACCAAGTTTGGTTACCTTTTCTCTTAAAACTTCCCCGATAAGGTCTCTTTTCCAGTTTTACTTCTTCTGCTCTAATCCAGGTCTTCCTAAATCCTTACGCTCTTAGCTGATTTCCCTGCTTGCCTCCTTCAAAGCCCTTTAGCCACTGCAGAGTCATGTGCCCTGAGCAGAACTGCCACTGGCTCCCCCCCAAAGTTCTTCAGCCTGGCATTTAGAGCTTCCCTGGAGGTGTTCACCTGTGTGACCCATTCAGCTCTGTGGCTGCTCCTGCACAGCACAGACCCCGCCTCAGGAACGGCTGCTGGGATGCATCTTCACAGCCGTTCTTCTCCTCTGCTTGTTCCTTCTGTCCTCCACCCATCTTCAACTTCCTTATCCAGTCTTTTCAACATCACTCCTTACCCCTCTCCTTAACAGAACAAGTACTAACTTTGCATTTCATTGTATGCTTACTATCAATCCAAAGCTCCTTATCTCGAATTACGAAAAGCCAACAAGTTTGGAGAACTAAAAACTTTTTAATAATCTTGGCATAAAACTCAGGCAAAACCTCTCTATGTGGATATGTAGATATGTACTGTCTTTTTTTGGTGACTATTCATATGTTCTGCTGCAGAAATACTAATATATTTAGCCATGGGGTGATCGAACAGGATGGAAAGTGAAGGGACCTCATCGATTTGTGCTTTGTGAAGCTGCCAGGTTCCTCCAGCATCGCGCTTCTCAACGCGGAGTCTGTATCCCTGAGACTGCAGAGGTGATAGGAAGTTACAGCATCCACGTGGATGAGGGTCAAATACATTTGATTGGAGGGGGGAAATGAAATTTGAAAATATGTATCATGGCATAAAATGCAAAATTCCTATGCACTGAAAAGATAAAACAGGAGATTCCAATAAAATTCAGGCACTGTGGGAGGTGGGGAGAAACTTATCTTTCAGTCTAGTTGCAGCCGGGGGTGCTAAAACACTGCTCTCATACAGACAGAATTCTAACAGTTTGGATTTTTGCATTTCTAACTGGGTGAACTTAGCCTTTCATACTTGTAGTCTTCTGTACAAGTACACGGGATGGTGAAAACTTCTGAGACTAGACTGTGTTGAAGAAGCAGGAACACCAGTGCATCTGTCCCTGATGAGGAAGGAAGATGCCCAGAAGTTAGGGTCGGAAGGATATTTAGAAAAATGGCCGTGTCGTGAGGAGACGAAACTTGACAACAGGCACATCATTCAGGATGTTTTTCAAAGTTATGTCTCAGGTGAAATAAGCCAGCCACAAAACCACGAATGCTGTATGATTCCACTTCTATGAGTTATCTAAAGTATTCAAACTCAGAGACAGAAAGGAGAATGGTGGTTTCCAGGGGCTGCCAGAAGAGGAAGTTGTTGTTTAAAGAGTATAGAGTTCTGGTTTGCAAGCTGAAAAGTTCTGGAGATGTGTTTTACGACAGTGTGTATATATTTAATACTGCTGAGCTGAATACTTCAAAATGGTCAAGATGGTAAATTATATGTTATCTGGTTTTTACCACCATTTTTTAAAAAAAGTTGTGTCTTAAGGTAGTCGATATAGCTCTCATTACTTTTGTTTGATTTTTTTGTTGTTGTTTGAATTAAGCTTACTACAAATGTACTTTCTCACCAAGTTTTGTTTGAGTATGCTATTTTGTGGTGTTGTTTTTTGTTTTTTTGGTAGGCAACAGATAATGGCGGCAGCTACAGGGGATCCTGGACTCTCCAAATTGCAGTTTGCCCCCTTTAGCAGTGCCTTGGATGTTGGGTTCTGGCATGAGTTGACCCAGAAGAAACTGAACGAGTATCGGCTAGATGAAGCCCCCAAGGACATCAAGGGTTATTACTACAATGGTAGCGAACTCCACTTCCCTGGTCTTCTGTTATTGTCTCTGTCCTCCAGGATAGTGCTGGTTTTCCTATATAAAGGGACACCCTTGTTGTTTGTAACCAACACCCTTCAGTAGTTTCTATGTTACTTCCTGGCTTTTGACTCAAGTTCATTTTCATTCCTTTCCCCTGTTGTGGGGAGAAGAATGGGAATAGTGCTGAAACCCAAGTTATTAATTTAAATAATATACATAATATACTATATGTAATATAGTATATAATTTAAATATTAATATTGATTACTTAGCATTGCTGGGGGAAGAAATTTTTTCCACTGAATCTTTTTTATATTCTTTTGAGATGGGCAAATCTCTCATATTCACAAGAGCTCTGTTCTATTCTGCCAGTATCTATTCACATACAGTAGACCTGACATGGTTGACCACCTCCCTCCTTAGGTTGACCTACTTTTCACAGACTAGACATGCACCACATGTATGTATCAGTACAGTAAGCCCAGTTCCTTACGTTGAACACCTTCGTATGTTGACCAGTTTGTTACAATCCCTTGGGTGGTCAAATGTAGAGGTTCTACTGTATTATTCAGGGGTGGGGAATCTGTAGCCTTTGAGAAACTTGTGGCCTTCCTAGATCTTGATCTTAAGTATGGCTTTTTGACTGAATCTGAATTTTACATAAGAAATCCTTTTATTATAAAAGTGGTAGAGCAGAGAAACGTGAAATTTTTCTTGACTCATTTGGTGCTTAAAAGAAGAATGATCTTATGGGGCAGTGCCTGTGGCTCAAAGAAGTAGGGCGCCAACCCCATATGCTGGAGGTGGCGGGTTCAAACAGAGCCCCGGCCAAAAACTGCAAGAAGAATGATCTTGAAATCAGAAGGCTGCAGGTTCCTCATCCCTGCAGGAATTGGATGGGGCACTTTGGGCTCAACAAAGAGAACAAAACTATTCACAAACATTTTTGATACAGAAAGTGCTATTTCTGACTTTTAATTGAAAATGTGATAATGCTTCTGTCCAGGTGATTCTGCTGGACTGCCAGCTCGCTTAACATTGGAGTTCAGTGCGTTTGACATGTAAGTATTATTTAGAATAGTGTTTGCTTTTGGTGAGGGGTGGACATTCTTGCCTCCATCACAGGTGGACTGCAAGAGGAATTAGGGGAACTCCAGGTAAGCAGAGTCAGCACCTCACGATTCTCTTGCAGAGAATCCATGGAGACCAGTGCGAGATGCTTAGATCTGTCTGGTTCATTTTTTCAGCAGATATTTATCAGCCTATTAAGGGTCAAGTACTGTCTAGATTTATTGAGACATAGAAAACATCCCTCTTGATTTTGATTGTGGTTAACATTTTGTGAATCCATTATTGGTACTTTTTTTTTTTTTTTTTGAGACAGAGTCTTAGTGTGTCACCCTTGGTAGAGTACTATGGTGTCACAGCTCACAGCAACCTCCAACTCTGGGGCTTAAACGATTCTCTTACCTCAGCCCCCCAAGTAACTGGGACTACAGGCACTTGCCACAACGCCCCGGCTATTTTTTTGTTGCCATTGTTGTTGTTTAGCTGGCCTGGGCCTCCGTGTATGTGGCCAATGCCCTTCCCACTGAGCTATGGGCGCCGCCTATTGGTACTTCTTAATTTACTCCTTTAGTTGCTTGTCCGTGGGCACTGATCAATAAATGTTTGTTAGGCTATTTCCGTATATGAGCCACTGTGCAAGACAGTGTGGGGGTGATACAAAGGAATCTGATAGATATGCCCTCAAAGAATTTTGGTTTTTTGCTTGGGTGTTGTGGGGAGTTGCTGGAGAGAGGACAGACATTTATTGAGCACTTAATTAGCCAGACACTTGCATAAACATAATTCTTTCGTATATGCCAGGTGTGAGTTTCCTCTTTCTCCTATGAGGAAAGCATGGAGCAAAAGATAAAAGTGGCTTGCCCAAGGTCACACCTAGCTAAATTTAGAAAACAAGGGTGAAAGCAAAATAAAAATGTATTCAGAAATACACGTGAAATTGCCATACAATGTACATATGGGCACTTGTAGCTAAATATACCTTTATTTACAAAATATTCATTGCTGAATTTTATAGAACATTTACAAAGTATTCTCTACATGCTGCAGGCCACCTCTTCGTAAAATTTTGTAATGAATATTTTGTAAATAAAAGCACATTTAGTTACAATTTCTTGTTTTCCCTATGTCTGGCAACTTGTGGGACACCCTGTATTTCTGAAATCTTCCAGTGGGATTTTACTATCTTATGGAAATAGAGAAACCAGGAGGGGCTATGTTTTTAGGAGGAGAGAAGGTTGGTTTTGAACATGTTGAGTCTGAGATGACAGAGCCCACTAGAAATGTCCAGGAGGAACTGAGTCAAAGAGAGAGGGTTGGCCTGGATTTGGGAGACCTCCACACAGAGGGGGCTGTACGAGAGAGAGCGCACAGGTGGTGCCTGACGTATGATGGTTCAGCTTAACCATTTTTCAACTTTATGATGGTATAAAAGTAATATAATTCATTAGAAACTGTACTTTGAGCACCCATATAACTACTCCCCTTTAAAAAATTTTCATTACAGTATTCAATAAATTACATAAGATATTCAACACTTTATTATGAAACAGGCTTTGCATCAGATGCTTTTGCCCAACTCCCGCAAGTGTTTTGAGCATGTGTAAGAGTAGGCTAGGCTACGCTGTGATGTCTGGTAGGTTAGGTGTGTTAAATGCATTTTTGACTTACGGTAACCAACTTGTGATAAGCGTATCACGATGTAACCCCATTGTAGGTTCAGGAGCATTTGGATAATGTAAAGAAAAGCAAAAGGCCCAAACAGTGACTGGTCCTATTAGGGAGGGGAATGAGAATACAGAACTAGTAAAGGACACAGGGATTGTCAGATAAGAACCAGAAAAGTGTTACAGAAACCAAAGGAGAGGATTTCAGGAAGGAAAGGGAAGGTCAACAAGATCAGAAGTACAGAGGTCAGAGTTCAGTGCAATGTCTTTGGGTTTGTTGATTAAGTCACTTGTAGTCCTTAGGAATTCAGTTTCTCAAACTGAATTCTACGCAGAAAGATGGAGCCAAAAACCACAGTAAGGGGCTTTAAAGGTTATCGGAGGTTAAAAAATTAAATGAGGCCCACTTTTCCTGCTTTGTTTATACCTCAGCAACAAAGGGTATAAACAAAGCAGGAAAAGTGGGCCTCATTGGAAGGTGAAGAGGTCAGGTCGGCCTGACTTTTGAAAGTGGCAGTAGTCAAAGTTACGGTATTTAAAATGGTGTCCCTAGAATTTTTTTTCAAATCTCAAAAAATCAATACATACTGTTCATTTATCTCAATCAAATTGCAAAATTTAAAAGCATAACAAATCCAAAATGGTGCTTGTCTTGTAGCTTTAAAAATGTTATGTATTGGTGTTTCTTGTTCCCCTTGGAGCTTTCTCGCTCCATCATAAATTCCTTGTGATTACTTGTCAAAACAAATTATATCCTAGTAATCTCTCTCCCTATTTTGCCAAAACTAACTTATTTTGTAGTAATTGCAATATAATGAGGACAGTATTAGAAATGTACAAGCAATAAATTGTCTGAAGATAGGAAAGAGGGGATATTGGCAATTTAATTTTATATAATTATATAAAATCTAATATTCGTCTCACCTAGCCTTACTCCTATCCTTATTCTGATAATAGACTGAAATTTTGTTTGATTTTTAAGATTTTAATAATTTTATTCGTTGGAGCAATTAATTAGCAAAAAAGCAGTTCATAGAAGTTAGATTTGATCTTATCAGAAATCCAAGTGTCTTCAACATTAATAACCTAGAAATTTTGGCTGAAAGAGAGAAGAAAATCTGTGAGCCTACAGCTGTGACTTGCACAATGACTGCTTGATTTCATTGTGGTAGACTGGAGGAGGTGAACAGGAACGAGATCTCGTTTGTACTCTTGTGAAAACAGCCCTGGATTTGAAGTTTAAAGACTTGGGATCTGTGGTTCATTAACTGTGTTCCTTTGTTAAGCCCTTTTGGTTTTCTTGGCTTCTGTTTCCTCATCTCTAAAAATGGGCTCTTGGCTCCCAATGTTCTTTCCAGGACTAAAAGTCTGATTTTATAAGTACTTCTTTGTAGGGATGGCTGAGGAGTTTAATGAAGGTGCTTGAGGCCCCTCAGAAGGCATGAGTTCCTTAAATCCAAATTATTTGCATTTTTATTACTCTGTCTTTATTGCCATCTATCTGCTGGGGTTTGTAGGGGAAATCTTAGGAATTTGTTCATTAAAGAGTGAACGTCTATAAAAATTTAGGGTGTATAGGTATCAGGAATACAAAGACTTACGAAACTCCACAGCTCCACTGTGCTATGACAGAGAGGTAGAAGACAAATACTTGCAGTGTGCTCAGTGCTGTAATAAATGTGGAGAATTATTTCAGAAATACTTACTGATTGCTTCCTCTGTGTCCTGATAACAGAATGTGCCAGGCATTGAGCATACAGAGAGGAATAAGGTACAGGTGAAGAGCTAACAATCCTAGTACTCACTTACAGAAGCCAAGAGTATCTCATCCTTGCCTCGCACCAGATAAATCTTTTACTCTGCGTCCCTGGAAGTCCTACGGGTCTCTGCCAGCAGTTAGCAACATGAGGAGCCTATTCTCTAAATTGTGTTAGGTGAACTGCCAGTCAAGTAGTATTTTATCAGGTACTAACTAACTTGAATTGGAGATGCTGTCTTGTAGCATCCTGAGATCCAGTAGGGTGCTGAGATACGGTAGGGTGACGGCTGAATCAGGCCCCAAAACCTAAGAGCCCAAACACAAAGGAATTTTATTTCTTGCTCGTTTAATATTCCGTGGCCAGTAGTCCAGTCTTTTTCCATCTTGCAGTTCCATCCTCCCTGAGGGCTTTGCCTTGGGCGCTGGTTAAGACTGAGTTGTCACTTTCAGGTAGCAACAGATTAATGAGGAAAGAGAGCCAGGGTGAAAACAGGTGGAAGACACACACCCCAACTCCTGAAGTCCCTGGCTGGGAAGAGATAAGCATCACTTCACTAGGGTTCCCCTGGGGAGAGCCCATCGCCTTACCTGTTTTACAGGAAGGACTGGGAAATGTGCCCATCTACAGGTATCATGAATGTTTTCTATTTTCATTGAAGCAGTGGAAAGTACAGTAGAACCTCCATAGCTGACCACCTCAAGTTGACCTAATTTTCATAGACTGGATATGCACATGTACACATCAGTATAGCAGCCCCAGCTCCTTATTTGACCACCTCCTTATGTTGACCAGTTCATTACAGTCTCGTGAGTGGTGAACTTGAGAGGTTCTGTAGATTTCAGTCAACAATCTCTACACCAATGTGAAACTGGTAAAAAAATTCTTTTTCCTTTTCCTGGATCTCAAGTGACAAATGTTTGAATGGGGACTATTTCCGTGGGCCTCTTTCCCTTAAGGCATATTTGTCTTTACTCCTGAGAACTATTTTTCTTTTCTAAGCCTTGTGTTGGGCTTAGAGAAATAGAAGGCATCGTCCTTGCCCTCGAAGCACTGAAGAAGCAGCTAGTGCACGAGGAGTCACATACATGATCGGCCCTGCCCGGCAGAGGCTGTGTCTGTCTTACTCGCCATGTATTAGTTGCTCAAATAACTGTTGAGTTGAATGAAAGCAGTCTGAGAGTATGGCTGTCAAAATGGAACGTGTTGTGACTGATGGAAAGTGGACCCTGTTGGAGGATGTTACAGACAGAAACTCCTCAGAGATTGTTACCAAAAAGGAGAAGTGACAACACAGCAAATCCCCAGCCACCGCTGTGACTTCCCAGGCTCCCAGCATTCCCTGTGGGCATGTGGAGCGAGGATTCATCCTCTAGGTTTGAAGAGCAAGCTCTGCTCCGTGATAGGTATCATTGAGGGCTTGCTGTTGTCTTAGTGGGGAAGATTTCTAGTTCCCATGTATTTTAACAGCTGTAGGGAGATATTATTCACACACCATCAAATTCACTCCTTTAAAATGTAAAATTTGGCAGTGCCTGTGGCTCAAAGGAGTAGGGCGCTGGCCCCATATGCTGAGATGGTGGGTTCAAACCCAGCTCCAGCCAAAAACTGCAAAAATAAATAAAATGTAAAATTCAGTGATTTTTAGTAGATTTATAGAGTTGTACAACCAGAACACTTTTATAACCCCCTGGAAGAAACCCTTAGCACTCACTCTCCATCCCCTTCTTCCCTACCCTGCAGCCCTAGGCAGCCAGGAATCTGCTTTCTACCTCTGAGGATTTGCCTGTTCTGGACATTTCATATAAATGGAATCAGTGTCAGAACCAGAATCTGAACTAAATTCTCTTGTCTCCATGTCTTAAGCTCTTTTCCTCTCATTATCACTTTTTAAAATTCATCTCCCTGGCCACCTCCCTGGTGGAACTTGAGTCATGAAAAATGTTTCTCCTCTAAAACTTCAGATCATCCTCGCTAATTAACTTGCATAAGTGCTGATGTTCCTAGGAGCCCAGCCGGCTTGGCAGTTGCTTGAGTTCTTGGGATGTAGTTTCCTCCCTTCTCACAGCAAGGCTTTGGCATGGCTCTCACCCACCTGGGAGGTTTGGACATTAAGGACGAAGGGCACCTTCCCCTCTGCGTGTGTGTCCAAATCAGACCTTAGCGTCCTTCCTTCTGTTTCAGCATCCTTTTCAGCAATAATTTCATAAAATCAAGTCTGACTGGAGGAGGCCTGGTTTGCCAACTGCTGTGCTTCCTTCTCCTTCCTCTAGACTTAATCTTGCCCCTTTGTGATTTTTCTCTTAAGACCATCTTTGATGTCCTCATCTCACCTGAATGGAAACTATTCTTTTCTTGGAAGAGTGTGGTGACAAAACAACCTGTGATTTGCTGACTCATAGCTCCCGAGAGAAGGCTCTGGCCATTGAAAGTTCCCCGTCCCCTAGGACTTGGCATTGGAGCCTTACAGATGGCGTTTGGCAGAGCCATCATCACTCATTTTACCCCTTCACACCTGTTCTGGGTTTAAATCGCTTCTCCTTCAGCCCCCCTGAACCTAATTTTGGACAGACTTTGAATGAAAAAATACTGGATCTTCTAAAGTGTACAGCTGCCGTCAGTGCAATCAGTAAAACTGCATCCTCTCTGCTGTAGTTGTCAGTGATAACAGTATTAGGCTACTGATGAAATGAATATTTTCATTTAGCATCTGTAATCTCAGAAACACAAGTTAATCATTTCAGAGAAAAGACCCAATTTGCCCACATCTGAATTTGTGTTCAGGACCAACACCTCTCCTTCTCTCCTGGCTTTGATTACTCTGAGGACCCACAGGTCTTTGGGGGCAGCGTGAAGTGGCATGATAGATTGACAGGTAACCCAGGAGTAATTCATTTTGTCTGTGTGACTCAGACAACCAGCGGGGTTTGCTCAGCAGCAGTTCTGTGCGAGCCCTGTTTGGTGTAGGTTAGGTTGTGGGACCGTCAGGAGAAATCATGCTCCCGGCCCTCAAGGAGCTTCCTGTCCTCCAGCCGGGTGGATTTGACTGTTGTTCTTGAAAGTGCTCTTAAAATATCATGCTCAGTTTTATGTTCCAACTGTTATAAGAGAAAATAGGAGATGGCTTCCTGAAGAGGAGAGACTGGAGCAGAGCCCTGAAGCCCACGAGAGTCTGAGCAGATGGTGGATAGCACCTGGGAGAAAACGAGTTCTGATGTCAGATTCTAGCTCTTCCTATTATTGTGTGACCTTAGGCAAGTTGCTTAAATCTTTAAATGGGGGATCCAGCTGTTTTGAGAATTCAAACCTTCAGCAGTTCTTGGCTCAATAAATAAGGTTTCTCTCTTAGATTGAAGATGAGAAAGAATACAAAATAGGAAATGAACTTATATTTGGGGGGCAGTTGAATAGCACACCAAGAGGGTAGGGGAAAGGGAAAATGAAGGCTTGGAGGAGGGGAATGGCGCCTGCTTTTTAGTGCATGAGCAATGATGTTTGTCTTTCTCTAAAGAAATGTCAATCTTCTGTTCGTCCTATAGAGCAGTATCCTTTGTGTCCCACTACTACAGTGGTTTATTTGTCACCCCCAGCTCTCTGAGTCTCAGCTGTACCTAACTCTGCTTCTTCGCATCTAGGAGTGCTCCCACCCCAGCCCACTGCTGCCCAGCTGTTGGAACACTGTATAATACCAACACACTCGAGTCTTTCAAGACTGCAGATAAGAAGCTCCTTTTGGAACAAGCAGCAAATGAGGTTAGCTGGGAAAATGTATATGCCATATTTTCTGTGCTTCTGGCAGGTGCAGTGTTTCAGATCAGGAATGTAAATCTGTCCCAGAAACTAGCGTATGACTGTCCAAGATGTTTTCAGACTTTGGTTTATTTCTCCAGAGAATACTCCTGGCTCTCTCCTTCCGTGTCAGTGGGAAGGTCAGGGAGAAGACATGCAGGCCCTTACCTGGGGTGGGCCAACAATTCATGGCAGGGCAGAGGTTCAGAAATCAGGTTTGCTGCTGATGACTAGTTAGCATTTGAAGCAGCCAGACCTCTCCATGAGAGTCACACTCCTGGGGCTGAACGCCTCTGGGTGCTCTCCTGCTTGTCTGTCAGTCCTGTGTACCGGGCGCTGTAGGAGGTTACCGTTTAGTCTGTCCACTGTCTTCAGGGTTACCTCTGGTCTACTTTGTCTGGTTTTCGAGGCCCTCTGTGGCGTGGCCCTGCCAGCCTCTTTGCCCTTCTGACCTATTGCTCTTGCCCTTGCATTCTCTGACTTGGGCACGGCAACTCACATGTGTCTCCCTTCATCTACGTCTGTTCTCTCTTCTCTCCTCCGGATATGATGTTCTCTTCACCTGGAATATCTTCCCTTTGCTTCTTCACATCTGAGTTAGTGAGAGGAATTAAAATTGGGTGGGAGGGGATTATCCCAGTCCTCTCTAAACCACTTAATCAGGGAGTTTTTACACTACTCTTAAAAAAAGAAAACAAAAAAAACCACCAGAAATCTTATTGATGCCAGTGCCATGGTCAGATCACCAGGCAGGCTTCCCTCATATCCCTGGTGATGGATGCAGCTGTGACTCAGGTGGGGATGGTCATTTTTCTTAACCAGTGGTTTGATTGCTGCTGGGCCTTCTGCTTTGACTGTTTGCTTAAAAGGGAGTCATCAAAGAGTTGGATCAGGTTTCATCCACTTGGAAAAAAGCAGGTTGCTCCCCACAGGAATCCCACCCCTTGTCTGGGGCTCAGACCTCTCTCAGCAGCTCTCACCCCACACTCCCCTGCAGTGTCAGAAAGTGGAGGCTTCTCTTCAGCCGTCCACCCCCTCCAAGGTCATTAGGTCAGTAACAGGAGCTACTTCTCTCTGCTGTTTCCTTCTTACATCCATCCTTGCGGAATGGTTCTTATTAGCACAACTGTTTTGACTTGCTTAGTAACACAAAGTTGAGTAACTAATCTTAGCTACTAGAACATCTTGTGATCTGCAGCTGCTGACCAGCACCAGCTTTTGCTCCTAGTCTGAATACTTGCTGAGTATACATAAACTTGAAGTTCATTCTTCCTTCTTCATCGCCTGGGGCAAGATAATCCCAAACAAGGCTCCAGGAAATCCCCTATATGTATTTCAAATCACTTTGTGCAGGAGCCCCTCCCAGGCTGTGCCGTCTCTCCTCTTCAGCCAAGTCCGGGGAGAATTCCTCCCAGGAATTTTACATACTTCTGTGATAGCCAATCTCATAATGTTGAAGTTGCATGTTTATGCCTGTCTCTCTCTCTGGACTATGGAGTGTCTTGAGGGTTGGGACTGACTGTGTCTTTTATTTTTCTAATCCCGATGCAGCTGGTATATAGTAGACGGCAGGTACATATTAGCTAAAGAAAATCACAGAGGCATCAAAGTGGACTGGTTGCCTCCTCTGTATGAGAACTGCTGAGAGGAAGCATCTGGGCTCTGTTACTTCACTCAGACACTAAGGCAAATGTAGCCACTGGAGGGGGAGTATGGAGTAGACAGTGAGGTAATGACCCACTTCACTGTTGGGATAAGTGGTGCTGTAGGGAAGAAGAACTTAGTGCTTTTCAGCTCCGTGCTTTGCTTGAAAGTGAGAATCTCAGCACCTGCCTTGACACTTTTCTTCTCCTGGCAGATATGGGAATCCATAAAATCGGGTGCTGCTCTTGAAAACCCTGTATTCCTCAACAAGTTCCTCCTCTTGACATTTGCAGTAAGTAAATGGGTTCTCTGTTGCACTGAGACTAGAGAAACCCCCTGGCTCAGCACGCAGACACCCCCTGCTGTCTTCTTTCTGAAGCTTGTGTTATAGGAGTATAGGTGTTAAAGAAATGTTCATTTGACTTGTGGCCAGATAGTGCCAGCACCCATTACCAATGCGATATTAATTCATTCCTATTGATCATATTGGCAGTAGATATATACTGTGTATAACACAGTGACCCACCTCTTGTTATTCAAGACACGGTAAAGTCAGGTTCAGGGAGAAGCGGTTTTATGTTGCTGACATCTTTGACACAATCCTGCACAGCTTAGTGGCTGGTCCAAACAATAAGAGAAAGAGCTTTCTGGGATTAGAGATAGCTAAATGCCTTGACCACACAATTCTGGATTTATTTTAAGAAAGAAAAATGTTTTTTATAGGTGAGATCCAATTAAAATGAACATTAAGGGCAGCCTTGAAGAGGAAAAGGAATCACATTAGGGTAACATTTGCTGCCTGGGAAAGAAGGGTTAAGGAGCTGGAGGAGCTGGAGGGAAAGAAGGGCTAAGGGCAGAACAGCCTGCCCTTGGCCTTGGTAAGGAAGAAAGTAGGGAAAAGGCAGGGTTGCTTGTAAGATGCCAGCACTGTATCCCCCTCGCACACAAGCATGCACACACACACATGTGTATGATGTTGTACGTTCTTTGGAGCTTCTGATTGGAGATGCAGGGGAAAACACTGCAGATGGAATGATGATTTAAGGGAGACCGTGGACTCGCTCTGGTCGGCAGCCCAGCTAAACTTTACTGATTACCTTGTATACTTTCAATCATTCAGTAAGAATTTAACACATATACAAAGAAGTGAAGTAACATTAGGAAGCTACCATTTAAGATTACAATTCAGTGTGAAGGCTGAGGAACACATATACAATTGATTTTGTTTAGAGTAAAAACATAATGGAGACTGGCTGGCTGTCCTTGCTGGCCCAAAGTGAAGCTACACATTATAATGCTAATGAAGGAGGAAGACAGAGAATAGAACCCAATGCTCCAACGGTCTGTTCCCCCCCCACCCCCCAGCTACACCCCTGGCTGATTTTCCACACCTCCTAGGGAGAGACACTCTGCATATTCCTGCATATCTATAGGCAGGTACACAAGCTCTATCTTCAAAGAGATGCTTCTCAAAACCAATCTCCTGGAGGAGCACATTGAGGCGAACTGCCATGTCTTGAGCAAGGGGAGCTTATCTCCTACATGTGTATATATGCATATATGTGTATGTATAAAACTATATCCTTTATTCCTATGTTGACTATGTTCCATAAATTCCTATTGTGTATTTAACTTGTGTCTAGTATTCACTATTATAAAAAATAAAGCAGTATATTGAACAATATATGTATCATATTGTTGGCTATATTAAGTTTTTCTCTATTTCTTTAAAGTAAGTTCTAAGTTGGCATATAGACACATTAATGTTGCTGTGTAGTAAGCGTGTTTTTTTATCATGGCATCATGAACTTCGATAGTAATCCTCTTCCCTGCTTTTTTCTTTTTTGTGCCGAGTTGTAGGCCTTGCCATTTGCTTCCCTCTCACCCCATTTTCCTGAATGCTGCACCCCTGATTTATTGCCCAACACAAAGATGGGGATGACAGGAGTCAAACTCGGTCATATCAGTGAGTTGCTATCTAAAAAGAGCATGTTATCTAACAAGCTATAATGCTTTCCAGTAAGTAGTGAGGGAGAGTGAAAAATGCTTCATTTTTTATCAGCTTACTAGGTGCAATTTGGCATTAATAATTATCATTTGTCTTTGTAATTTTGTATATCCTCCAATAGGATATATTTTAAGTGTGGCTAGTTAAAGATTTCAAGTTACTTGAATATCAATACATTTTCTGTACCAAGAATTCTCATGAGTAGACCCATATTGACAATTTGTGTTTCATGAGAAAAATAACATTAACTCTTACTTAAAGTTAAAGTTAAAGAATTCTCATGAGTAGACCCATATTGACAATTTGTGTTTCATGAGAAAAATAACATTAACTCTTACTTAAAGTATTATCTAGGGCATGTATGTTGGCCTTGTTGCCGTTTCTACTGAACGTTCTTTCACCTGGCTTTTAAAAAATTAAAAGTCTCTATCTTCAGACACAAAGGGCTTTATGTTTAATTTAATCACGGTCCTTTGTATCCTGAAAAGAATCCTATGAAATTCAAGCCTTTTGACTTTTGAAGATGACCTAATAAAATTTCTTAGAAGAATTTGTGAGTTCTTTCATTTTGAATTATTTAACCTTTTACTAAAGATCAGTTATGACAAATCATTTAAGTACAAAGAAGAGAGAATACTCTGTGGAGGTGTTTGCGCTTTCCTTTCTGCTGTTTTTAGGACTCACCAGACTAGACACTTCATTAATTTCAATTTTGCAGTTTGTTTTGCTACCATGAAAAGGGAGTTTGTTCTTAGTTAATCAATTAGTAGCAGAATTAGAGACTGCAGAAACTATAATTACTAGACTTTCTCATCGGGACCCATGTACATATTTAAATTTATGTTTTAAAACTCATCAGGTATGACTCCATTTATATGAAAATTCCAGAATAGTCAAATCCATAGGAAAAGAAAATAGATTAGTGGTTATCAGGGGATGAGGGAAGAGAGAATGGGGAGTTTCTGCTAATAGGAGATTTCTTTTTGGGGTGATGAAAATATTCTGGAATTAGTAGTAATGGTGGTACAACCTTATCAGTATACTAAGAAAAAAAAATCCCACTGAATTGTATACTTTAACATGGTGAATTTGTAGTATGTGACTTATATCTCAATTTTTAAAAGTCATCTAATAATGTCCACTTTTCATTCTTAGCAAGATTCAAGAAGAAATATTAATTAGCCACAGAAACTACATTAGTGGTCAGTGGTCATAGAATGGTGGTGAGGAAGTGGTATGGATCCTACCATGTGTGATTAAGGGCCCAAACACCGGAATAATTCAGATGCAAGAGCCATCAGCCTGAGTGGGGACAATGGCAAGGACAGCCTCATGAATCCTTTCTCCAGGTCATTTCCCCTGGTGAGAGAATGACCAGATACACCCATGCAGATGTAACCTCTTCTCTTACCTGTGCTTAGTACCCCTTAGTGTTTAGCACCTCTCTGTGACTCTTAAGGTTATCATGCATTGATTCTACCTCTGCTCTATGCAGACAGTGAGCTGCCCTTGGCTTGGCACCCATAGCACAGTGGTTACGGAGCCAGCCACATGCACCAAGCCGCCAGGTTTGAACCTAGCCTGGGCCAGCTAAACAACAATGACAACTGCAACAAAAAAATGGCCAGGTGTTGTGGTGGGCGCCTGTAGTCCCAGGTACTTGGGAGGCTAAGGCAAGAGAATCACTTATGCCCAAGAGTTGGAGGTTGCTGTGAGCTGTGACGCCATGGCACTCTACTGAGGGTGATATAATGAGACTCTTGTCTCCAAAAAAAAAAAAAGAAGAAGAAGAAGAAAAAGAAAAGAAAAGGAAGTGAGCTGCCCAGTGGTGAGAGCTAGGGCTTATTCATCTTATTATCAGAGTGTCTCATGTTTTACCTTGCACATATTAGATAGCAAAGGCTTACAGATTGTTGACTAGAATTTTACCAATAAGGCATTTCCAAAAACAACATTATCTCAGACATGAATAGGTATGTGAGTATCACAGCTTCCTTATTATCATGCGTAACTGACTTGATTATGAAGAGAATGGTAACTGTGTTTGGAGGCCGAGCCTCCCCAGATTGACCATGGAGTATGTGTGGTACAGTGGGAAGCTTACATTTTGGAAGCAGAGTTATGATCCCTTCTCTGCCCTTTACTGTGTTTTGTTATTGTTGTTTGTGTTCTTTAATCCTTTTTCTAAGCTTCAGTTTTCTGTCGATAAATCAAGTGTATTGTGTTTATCTGATATTGTTCGTGTGAAGTATGTGAAAGTACTTGGGGAAAAGTCTTGTCTTCTATCACGAGTGCTGATGGGAGATGAGAATTTTGACAAGCTGCACATATTTTGTATACATCAACTCTTCTCTCTTAATGGGCTACATTTCAGCTTAATTATTGGTGCTATTCTAATACGCTATTTTATGTTATTTATTCTAGGATCTAAAGAAGTACCACTTCTACTACTGGTTTTGTTACCCTGCCTTGTGTCTTCCAGAGAGTATACCTCTCATACAAGGGCCAGTGGGTTTGGATCAACGGTTTTCACCAAAACAGGTATCGACAAATAAAACAAAATGCAGGTAAAATTGGGTTGAATGTGCAAGAGTAGTTACCTAATTCATTCCAGAGACAAATAGGTACTTCTCTGAGTGAATTGGTAGTAACTGTGGAATCCTTTAAAGTACCAGAAGACTGATTTACCAATGATTTGTAAAGTCATTTTGAAGAAGTACTAAATAATGATTTTCCAGGTTTTCAGTGGTATTTGACAAAATGCTAAGCCAATAGGGAGGAGGAATTATAGGAACTTTTTAAAGACTGAAAGAATTGACTGAAATGTGGTCTTCACTTTCAGTGTAGAAACATAAGGTGATATACTTTGGGAAGAGAGCCTTTGAAACAAACAGAAGACATCTCCAAATGCCAAGTTGCAGAACTCCATCAGGAATGGTACATGCAGAGCTAGTGTTGCCATTTGAGAAGGATAATAAGGTCATTAGAGATAGTTCCCCAAAGAGCAATTAAAGTAATGAGGCTGGTAGAACAGAGACTTTCCCAAACTAGAGAATTCTGATTGTTGTGAAAATAAAGATGTCAGGATGACTTGAATTCCTGAAGCACATTCATCACTGAGACACTGAATGCTGAAGCCAGGGAGCAGCCATTATGGATTTTTAAGAAAAATTTAGTACAAATCCCAGGTTGTGGTTTTGTGGAACTAATTTCCCAAGGAAAAAGACCTAAGTAGGGAAAATGGATTTTGCACTGAGATTGACTGCCGGTGGGTATAGGTTTCTTTTATCAAGGAAAAAATGTTCTAAAATTATCACAGTAATGCCAACACAGCCCTTTGAAAATACATTGAAATGTGTCCTTTAAATGGGTGAATTATATGGTATGTGAATTATGCCTCAATAAAGCTCTTAAAGATTATGGAAGAGTTCAGGTTAAAATTTATCAATGGTAGATTTATGTTGGGTTTTTCACGGAGAGGAACAGTATCTGGTTCCCTGTCTCAACCTCTGTGCTTGACAGCTTAGGAACCACCAGCCTGTACATTAGCATGTCCCTCTGTGCCCGTCTGACGTGTGCCGCCATGCACCTGAAAGTGTTATGTAAAAGTTAAATGGCATCATTTTGGGACAATTGATGTTCCCTTGCTGTAATAGCATAATAGGTGTGAGCCGTCATTTCTAGGCTTTTGGCTCTAAGGTACCTTTTACTTTTTGTTACTTTTTAGCCCAGAACTGGATATGTAATTAGAATAACTTAATGTTTCCTGTTTTCAGATTCAAGCCCTTGAGTGTGCATACGATGATCTTTGTCAAACAGAAGGAGTCACAGCCCTTCCTTACTTCTTAATCAAGTATGATGAGAACGTGGTGCTGGTTTCCTTGCTTAAACACTACAGTGATTTCTTCCAAGGTCAAAGGACAAAGGTCAGAGAAACTTTGATTTATTATCCCGTCTGGTTAAAAAAAAAATTGACCACTGCAAAATTCAAACTTCTTTAAATTTCTTTAGCCGTTCAAAAGATATTTTAGAACTTTTCTTTATCTCTACCCTTTCCACCCCTGCCGTTCCCAAATCAGCTCCTCCAGATTTTTCTAGCTCCATTCCAGCTCAGACTAATTTTGGATTCCTCAATTCCTATTAATGCTAAAGTTATTTCAGTTTCCCTCCTGATACATTTTATTTGTGAAACATCTGTGTTTTCGTTTCCATTCCTACAGCCATCCTGTAGTTCATGTCCCCATTATCTCACTTCTGGACAGTATCTTCTTGTTTCCATCTTGCACAAAACCACTACAGAAGAGTCTTCTAACTACTTGCGTTTACTGTGTCATTCACCGACCACGAGCCTGATGATGTCTGTCTTCTTTCCCCCAGCCACCTTTTCTGCTTCATCTTCAACTATTTTCCTTACAAACCACTGCTCCAGCTGAGCTTCTGTTTTTCTCCAGATTCCCACTCCCTCAATCAAATATACTTAACTTTTTTTGTCTTGTCTTCCCTCATTTTCTGTCTTCTTCCTAAAATATTCTCATTTTGTATCGTCTTCCTAAAATGTTCTACCTGTGAAAATCCTAAGAAACGTTCTTCCCTTATTGAAATTCTGCCTCCACCATGAAGCATTTTCATGGGTGTGGTCATCCCTGTCTGAACTTGCTGCCTTTACTAACTGATTCTCATTTTACAGGTGTAGGAACTTGTACAGGTTCCTTCTGCACCTTATTAGCCTGTGAGCTCCTGCAGGGCAGGGCCCCTGTCTTGTGGATCTGTGTCTGTATAGTGTCCAGTACTTGCCTGAGGCCCTCAATAAAATTCTTTTGAATGAATGCACGAGTACTGTAATTGTCTTTTAGAAGTGATCAGATACAAAGTAAGTTAAGACAATTTACAGGAGATTATGAACTAAAAATAAAAGACTGATGAGTATTATGAAGTTGTGGACCCAAGTAGAATAATTTCCATAGCCATGTTAATATATCAGAGCTGAAAAAAGAGAGGCCTCTAACTGATGCTCTGGATTATGCCTGAACTTAGGAGGTCTTTTTAAAGCACATTTTTTAATCAACTGCATTAGTATTTTATTCATGTTTTCAGAGGAAGCCCTTTTTAAATTGAGGACTGAGGATTGAATTCTTATTAAAATTCTTTTTCCCTAAGTATTTCATAAAACTATAGTGAAATTAGTATAGTCGTCACAGACCCGCAGTCTGGTATGATAGCAGGCAGGATGAGTTGGCCTGTGTTTGAGAGCCACTATAGGTCAGATTGTATATGGTGAGTCTGTGGTCCTCCCTCAAAGTGCAGCTATTCTAACATAAGTCATAGAAAGCTTTACCATTTAAAAGGACCTTTCACATATTTGATCATAAATGTGAAATTGGTGTGCCTGCATTTTCTATTTGAGGAAAATAAGACTCAAGAGTGACATGTCCAGATGGTCTGATTCCAAAGTCTTTCCATCACTCCCTTTCACATTGTTTGGGTGGAGGCGGTCCCTGCATGACCTATGGAATCAATTAGATCAATTTAACAGAGCTGCCTCTTGGTAGCTGTGTAACCTTGGGGAAATGGCATAACCTCTCTTTATCACAGATTATCTGTTAAGTGGTATTAATACTACCTCCTTGCAAGGATAGTGTGAATAAAATGCCCAGCATATAGCACGTGTTCAGTATGTATCTACTTTCTTTTGTCTCCAAGAGCAGCATATTTTGAAAGATTTATTCACAAATCTTTTGGGGGGGGTCTCCTCTGAAATGCTCAGGGGTACTTACCAGTGCCCTGTCCCCTGAGATCAACTGCCTGCCAAGTTCAGGCACATTCTTTTTCTGGGGGTCAGAGTCGTATCTCAGGAAACCATGGAATTACTCAGCACTTGTGTTGAGCACTTCCTAATGAGCCAGAAATTGTGAGATACAATTCTACCTATTTTCACAGAACCTAAGGTCTTCTAGTGGAACGGGAACTGAGTCATTGACCTATGGAAAGTTAACTAGAAATTCTAGTAATGGAAAAAAAGAGCCAAAGAAATGACATAGAATTACAGATGATACTTTGGTTGTTTGTCTCTTCCCTGTATTATTCTAGAAAGGATCATCAGAAGCTGTACAGCTTGATGGCCTCATAGGAATTCATGGTTTCCTGGCTGGCCTCCCCTCCCTTTTCCCCAGAATGTCCTCATCCGTCCTCCACACTGCCGCCCAGGTGCATTTTCTAACATGTACATTTGGTTACGTCATTCTTCTCCTTGAAAGCCTTCTGGATCAACAGGGTTTCTGTTGACTTCAGGTTAAAGGTCAGACTGTTTAGCTTGGCATTCAAGGCCTCTTCAGACCAGGCCCCTGCCCATCATTCCAGCCTCCTCTGATGCTCCCCAAGACAGGTCCTGTGATCTCGCAACACTGGGGCCCTCCAGATGCTGCACGTTGCCCACTCTGCCCACAGACCAGCCTTTCTGTCTGTCTCTGTCCTGTCATCTGGCTGGTGTCTCACTCACCTTTCTGATCCCTCCCCCAGTAGCTCTGGCAGATTCCTTGCACTGGTTCCTGGCCCTCTGCTGTGTTCTGGTAACAGCATCCCTCTTCGCACCAGCTAAGCTCCAAAGTAACTGTTGGTTACCTATCTTCATGCCCCGTGTCCCTCAGCCTGCGAGCAACTTTAGCACAGAAACCTTGGTTTACCCCACTTTGAATCCTCCACACTGAGTGTGATGCCTGACATGTAAGAGGATGCAAAGTGAGAATGTTAAGATGAGGAACAGATAATTGTGGACCAGTATGATCAAAGGTGGCTTTGAGGGAAAAGTAGGATTTGGGCAGAACCCCGAAGAAAAGATTTCTGTAAGATCTAGACCTCACTTGAAGGCATTCCTGATTTTATTGCATTCACCTGACTTACCATCTACCATGTAAGTCCAGTTTCACTTTAATGTTTTTTGAGTCATGATATGTCTTTGAAGGTTTTCACCCTCCTCTTCCAAAAATAGGCATTCCCTTCAGCGTGAACTCCTGCGGTTGTGCCCGGGCTCTATGTTTTGTTCTATTTTCTGCCTCCTCTTACCCACATTTTGATCTCTGAGAAGTCTGTGCTCTTCTGCGAGCCTGTTGCTCTCACGTACAAGGTGGAGAAGTGTTGGCATCCCTCCATGTTTCCCTCTTCCCCTCCTGTTTGCTTTTCTGAGTGCTCTCCTTGTGCCCATGACTCCTGTAACTGCTTTCTTACCAGTGACTCAATTTTCCCCCACCAGCCTGAACCTCCCCCTGGAGCCCAGACCACTTGACCCAGCTGCCTGTGCGCCTTCTCCGGCACCTCAGATTCAGCGTGTCCACTTTGAACTCCTCATCTTTGCCCCAAGGCTGATCCTCTTCTGGCATCACTGTTAGTCTCTGTCCAGTCTCGTGAACCATACATCTGGAGGTTCTGCAGGCTATCTCTCTGTCCCCTCCCAGCCCCCAGCCTGTGGATTGCACGTCCTGAACGCCTCTCAGTCTGCGCCTTTGCATATCTCCTGCCACCACCCATCTCAGCTGCTATTGTCTGTCTTCTGCTCTATTGCAGTGGCCTCCTAACAGGTCTCTTTGTGTCCCCTCTGGCCTCCCTCCAGCCCATTCCCACATCGTCCCCACAGTTTTATTTGGAAAAGTGCATCTGCTCATGTTGTTCCTGGAATGAGGGTTCTAGGAGTAGGAACTGCATTCTTACTAGGCCATACAAGAGCCTATATGGCCTGGCCTCTATTTGGATGTAGCCCCAGGTCATTCCCTGTTCTCTGCCACAGGGCTTTGCACACACCTTTGCCTGGAATACCCTGCTCTTTCCCCACTTCTGCTCCCCATCCACTTGTAGTCCCCTTTGCTCTGTTAGTGCTTATTCTTTCTTCAAATTTAAATTCAACCATTATTTTCTCAAGAAAACCTTCTCTGACCTCACTAAAAAGGTTTATTCCTTCTGTTATGAGTTTGCATAGTCCTATATATCCTGTTTTTGTATATTTTACACAATTATAATTCTACGTTTTCTTGAGTGATAGTTGATTAATATCTTTTCTCTCATTTTAATGTAAGCTCTGCCAGGGCAGGTCCACTGTCTTTAGTTTCCCACCATTCTATCTGTATCCCGTAGCATTCTGCCTTGTGCATAAAATAGGATGAAAGAAGGAATCCATGCACAAATAAATGCATTGTGAGGGCAGGAGGTTGCACGTGGGAAGCACCTAGTCAGTTCCTGGCACACGGTAGGGCTTCAGTGTTAGCAAGTGGCTCTTAGTGTGGCTTATTCTGAGTGTTCTCTCTTTTTTTTTTTTTTTTTTT